AAAAAAAAAAAAAAAACACTTGATAAAGAAACTCAAAGATTTTTAAATACTCACCAAAGCACACATAAAATGATGAGGGATAATTATCACTAGAACCCATTAAAGGTATTGTTTAGCAACATATATATTGAGAGCATTTGTTCCAAAAGTTCTCCAACTTTTGCTTTCTCAGGAAGATAGGTCAGCATGATTTTGAGCCATCATTGATGATCTATGTAATTATCAAGTGTATATGATGTACTCCATTTTACTTCACATTTACAAAGTTTATAATTAAGAATAAATTCCTCTCTTTTCCATTTTTCTAATGTAGATTTATGATTTGACGATCCTTACATGCATATGATTTGAAGAAAAATATATAATTTGCATTTTCACCTAAATCATCAACGAAAATGATATTTGATACCATATGTACTTTATTGATTTATATTCACGTCTTATATAGATTCACACAAAATGTTTATGGGTATACGTAAGGTCTACCATCACATTTATTATGCAAATTTATATGAAATGTAAAAAAATTGATAAAAGTCATTCAGTGATAAAGACTCGTGCTTGGGTGTCAATTTGTTCTCCAACCGAATAAAAGTTATGTCTAGTAATTAATTTTGAATTGATGTAATAAATACTCTTTTAAAGAATAAGTGACATTCTTAATTTTGAGTACTTCAATGCTACCAGTTAAAATTAAACAGAGGCAAATATTATCTAAAAATGAGTAAAACGAAGGTGTCACGGCATATTATAGTGTGAAATTTGGCATTTAGAGTAATATCAATAACAAAAATCACTATTTTGTTGGGAGAATCTAAAGTAAATGGGTATGGTATTGGACCTCTACAACAATTTTAAATTCTTTTAAAAATTAGTAGGATTTAAGATTGTATTTAATTCATGAATTTGGGGAAAGATTTGAAAAAGGTAATGAAAAGGAAAAGGAAAAAAATATGTGAAATATAAATAAAATATAACTAAATTTCATCTACGTTTTACACACCTTTTTACTTTTGTTTTTCTTTCCAAATTTCTCTTCAAATTTATGAACTAAACATAGCCTAAGAGGGAAAAAAAAAAAAAAAAAATTACCAACTGTCAAAGACAACTGTGATACAATAAAGCGTCAAATTATAAATGAGTAGTAATACGAACCTAACAGTTTTAAACCTCCAAGTTTATCCAAATTGTACATACAAAATGGGTGGTGTGGATGGTACATATAAATTGTACATATTCAAATGCATTTACAAATTGTGTTTGGATTATAAATTTTGATAGATATTTGAAAAAGAAAAAAAGAAATGTCATACAAACAAAAAAATTCATATATAATGATGTGGCTTGTTGTTAATATTTTACTTTAAGATAAAACACCATTGAAAATGAATTTATCTATAATAGTGGCATTGCCATATTATTCTTGTCAAGTTTTCGTATAAATTTTATATATGTTTAGAATTTTTTATTAAAAAAAATGACTGAAATATAAATAAAATATAAGTTAAATTTTTTTTCTCTCATTTTTCTTTCATTTTTCAAATTTATTATCCAAACACAGCCTTAAATATGCACTTTATTATATTTTTTTTGATAATGTTAAGAATTTTTGTGATAAATATTACGCAATCTTCTAGTAGTATTACGACAATTTATGATTTCTAAAATGAAAATATTATATGTTACAACAATTTGTGATACAGTCATAAAAATACCTAAGTGCATCACAAATTATTATAACTTACAATATCTTCACTTTAAAAACCACAAATTATTCTCAAATTACCAATAAATTACGTAACATTTACTACAAAATTTTAAAATAAATAAATAAATAAATAAAATACAAAACAAAATACATATAATATGCACCTTTATAGCATTTCCCTTGAACTGGACATGGGTCCTATTTTGAAACAGACATTGCAGGGGCATCACATACAGCAACATCCAGAAACACTAGTGTCCTCATGTCTTCCAAATTTCAAACTACCCCTTCTCTCTAAAATGAAATTAATAATATAAATTCTCTCTCTCTCCTTTTCTTTTTCTTTTTCTTTTGTTTTTGCATGAAATAAGTTTCTAGATTCAGATCCTTTCCAAAACAATTGAGGAAGCATAATAGGATTAGCAGGGATTAAAACCCTACAATGACCTTGGCTTTGAAGAATCTAGACATTGGAACAGTTTTGAGATTGGAATCATCTGTTCTAAAACATGTACTTGTTTAATCATTTATAATTGTACAATTTAATTTTTTAAAATAAAAATAATTGTAAGTACTTAAAATATGAAGACAGACACCTTTTCAAGAATAGAGATTCGTAACTCACATTTTGTAAAGTATCAAGGTTCAGGAAGAAATGTTGAATTCAATAGTTAGGGTCTTAACACCATGGTTGAAGTAGATTACAATGAGACTGATTAAAGAAGATGGCCATTAGATAATGTCTCAAAATTTTTGTATTTTGAGATTCTCATGTGATCCAACAATTTTAAGTATTCTGAAATTTAAAAAAAAAAAAAACATATTTAAAAACAAAATATCCATGACGTTTTTGGATACGATCTTTGCAGAGTATACCCCAGATAACATTAGAGCGACGACATCCCACATACCAAGTTAGTCAAGAGAATTTAACAAACTTGCTTGAATTTTTTGCCAAATGCTGGTTTTAGCTTGTAGAAGATCCACACTCCATAGTGGTTCAATAATGTGCAATAAATGGAACATTTTAACCAATTTATTGTATTACAGAGAAGCTTTCAAGTGTACATATCTATCTGTTACGGATCGGGGGCACACTAGGGAACTCAAACAAGCAATAACACACAAGATTTAACGTGGTTCGGCAAGGCGCCTACGTCCACGGGCAGCGGATTCACTATATTGAACAAAATGGTAAGAATTACAACACTCTCTGTAATTCTCTCTCTCTCTTTGCTCTCTAAGCATCTCAGCTATATCTCAACTCTCCTTAGCTTCTCTATATATAGAGATTACAAATGCAAGAGGAACCCTTTGAAATGAGCTGGCTGCCAGCCCATTGTTGTGCTTTCGGTGGCTTTACAGATTGAAGCTTCACATGGCTTCTCATGGCCTCATGGCCAACTCACATGGCCTCATGGCTTCCCCACCATGTAGCTGGCTGCCACTTTCCACCACATGGCTAGAATCTGTAGCCAATATTCAACAAAAT